CTGATCCTGACCGGCGCCTTCGGCAACCAGACCGCGTCCGAGACGACGGTGGAGGCACCGGCCCGGGCGCCCGCCGCCGTCGACCGGGAGCTGCGCGACGTGCGGCGGGAGGCGAAGGCGTCCTAGGGGCGCCGCGCCGCCGCCTTGCGCGGACCGGCGTCGGGCAGCGTCGCAGGCGCGGCCGCCCGCCACCGGTAAGACCCAGCAACACCGACATCGACAGCAGAGAAGACAGAGGAGTGCGTCGACATGCTGCGTAAGCTCATGGCCTCGGCCGCCGTGGCCGGCCTGCTCGTGGCCGGCCCGGCCGCGGCCGAAGAGGTTTCCGAGATCAACTTCGGCATCATTTCCACCGAGTCCTCCCAGGCGCTGAAGTCCAGCTTCGATCCCTTCCTGGAGGACATGTCCGAGTATCTCGGCATGCCGGTGAAGCCCTTCTTCGCCAGCGACTACGCCGGCGTCATCGAGGGCATGCGCTTCGACAAGGTCGACGTTGCCTGGTTCGGCAACAAGTCNNTCGCCCAGACCATCAAGGACGACGGCTCCGAGGGCTACTACTCGCTGCTGCTGGCCCATGTGGACAGCGACATCGACAGCCTCGACGACGTGCTGAAGTGCGACGGCAGCCTCGACTTCGGCATGGGCGACCCCAACTCCACCTCGGGCTTCCTGGTGCCCAGCTACTATGTCTTCGCGCTGAACGGCGTCGACCCGAAGGAGTGCTTCTCCACGGTGCGCAACGCCAACCACGAGACCAACGCCATGGCGGTGGCCAACCAGCAGGTCGACGTGGCCACCAACAACACCGAGTCGCTTTACGCCCGCCTGGCCAAGTCGCAGCCCGAGGCCGCGGCGAAGGTCAAGGAGATCTGGCGCTCGCCGCTGATCCCCTCCGACCCGATCGTCTGGCGCGCCAACCTGCCGGAGGCGGTGAAGCAGAAGGTCTACTTCTTCTTCATGACCTACGGCCGCTTCGGCGACATGGAGAAGGTCCAGCGCGAGCGCGAGGTGCTGACCAACCTGTCCGACGGGTGGGGCCCCTTCCTGGCCTCCTCCAACGCCCAGCTCATCCCGATCCGTCAGCTCGAGCTGTTCCGCAGCAAGGTGCGGATCGAGAACGACGAGACCATGAGCGCCGAGGAGAAGGCGGAGGAGATCGCCGAGATCGACGCCCAGCTCGCCGAGCTCGGCGAGTGGGAGCAGGTGGTGGCGCCGAAGGCCGCCGAGTAAGCCCCTCGACCCCGGACCGCGGGGCGGCGGCGTTCCCTGCGGGGGACGCCGCCGGCCGCGGCGCCGTCGCCGTCGTTTCGGGCCCCCCGTTTTCCTTTCCTTCAAGACGACGAGGATGCGATGTCGACCATCGCCGGACAGCAGACCCCGGTTTCCGGACGGGCGGGTGCCCAGCGGCTCGAGGAGATGCAGGTCGAGCTGCCCAGGCGCGACACCAGGCGCTCCCTGGTCAACATGATGATCTGGGGCCTGGCCGTCGCGGTGCTCTGGTGGGGCTGGAACGGGGCCGAAATGAACCCCTATGCCCTGATCGAGTACGGCGCCAACATGGCCGAGTTCGCCGGCGCCTTCGCCGAGCCGGACTTCCGGCAGTGGCGGCTGTTCCTGGACGAGATGGTGGTGACCATCCAGATCGCCATCTGGGGCACGCTGCTGGCCGTGGTCTTCGCGGTGCCCTTCGGCATTCTCTCGTCGGAGAACCTGGTGCCCTGGTGGGTCTACCACCCGGTGCGCCGCGTCATGGACGCCTTCCGCGCGATCAACGAGATGGTGTTCGCCATGCTCTTCGTGGTCGCCGTCGGCCTCGGCCCCTTCGCCGGCGTGCTGGCGCTCTTCGTGCACACCACCGGCGTGCTGGCCAAGCTCTTCTCGGAGGCGGTGGAGGCGATCGACCCGCGCCCGGTCGAGGGCATCCGCGCGACCGGCGCGCACCCGGTGCAGGAGGTGGTCTTCGGCGTCATCCCCCAGGTGCTGCCGCTGTGGATCAGCTACGCCCTCTACCGTTTCGAATCCAACGTCCGCTCGGCGACGGTGCTGGGGCTGGTCGGCGCCGGCGGCATCGGCCAGGTGCTCTGGGAGTACATCCGCGGCTTCTACTACAGCGAAACCGCGGCGGTGATGATCGTCATCATCGTCACCGTCTCGCTTCTCGACGTCTTCAGCCAGTTCGTGCGCAAACGCTTCACCTGAGCGGGGGCAGTCTTCTTTCAGGGACGGGCAAAGCGGCGCTAACAAACTGAAATAGAGAGATTTTCGGGCAGACGCCGGGAGTCGCAAGGCGGTTCCCTCGGCGCCGAAATCGCTCTAGATTGCGGATCCTGGTTCCCCCGTCGCCGCGAAAGGTCGGTTGCCGCCCGTGTCCGCCACCGTTGCCCCCGAAGACTTCGAACTCCTGCTCAAGGCCCGCCCGCACGTCCAGGTCGCCAGCCACGTGCCGGGCCGCATCCGCCTGAAGTTCGCCTTTTCCATTCTGGGCGCCGTGCCCGACGTTGCGGAGCGCGGCGAGCAGGTGATTTCCGCCATCGACGGCATCCGCGACGTCGAGACCAACATGTTCGCGCGCAGCCTGACCGTGACCTACGACCCGGAGGTGCTGCCGCCGGACTGGTGGGACCGGCTCTACGGCGACGACGAGGCCGCGGCCCGCGCGGTGGTCGACAAGCTCAAGGCCAGCTTCGCCTGAGTTCCCCGGCGCGAGCCGGGCGCGCCCCCGGCGCGGTCGCCCGCCTTACAGCACGTACCAGGACAGCAGGAAGATCGCGATCCCGACCAGGCCGCCGACCAGCGTGCCGTTGATGCGGATGTACTGCAGGTCGCGGCCGACGGCCGTCTCGATGCGATCGGAGACCGTGCCGGCGTCCCAGGACTTCACCACCTCGGCGATGAAGTGGCCGATCTCGTGGCGCCAGGGCAGCACCCAGGTCTTGGCCGTCTCCTCCAGGCCGTGGTCGAAGCGCGCCTGCATCTCCGGGTCGGCCAGCAGTGCCTTGCCGAGCGACTGCAGGCCGCCGGCCAGGGCCTGGCGCAGCACCGACTCCCGCCCGGCCGCGGCATCCGCCAGCAGCAGGCCGCGCAGCTCGCGCCAGACCTCGCCCAGGTAGGCCTGGGTGCGCGGGTTGCTCAGCAGCTCGGCCTGCAGGGCGTCGACCTGCGCGCGCCGGTTCGGGTCCTCGCGCAGCTCGCGGCCGAGGCGGTCGAGGCTGGCCTCGAACTGGCGCCGGGCCGGGTGGTCGCGCTGCAGCAGGTCGTCGAGCAGCTCGGCGATGCCGGCGACCAGGGCCTTGGCCATGCGCTTGTCGAGGCCGCGCGGCACCCACCAGCGCGAGCGATCCTCCACCGCCTCGTAGATCTGCGCCTGGTTGTCGAGCAGATACTGCCGGGCGGCGGCGACGATCTGGTCGAAGAGCTGGTGGTGCCGGTCGGACTCGCGCAGGATCTCCAGCCCCCGGCCGAGCAGGGCGCCGAGGTCGATGGCGCCGAGCTGGCGCTCCAGGGCGCGGCCGAGGAAGCTGCGCACCTCGCGGTCGCCCAGGGCGTCGACCAGGGCGGGCACTGCCGTGGCCAGGCGTTCGGCCAGTTTTTCCGCGTTGTCCTGCGCGGCCAGCCAGGCGCCGATGCGGCGGGCCGGGTGCAGGCTGCGCAGCTTGGCGGTGACCAGCTCCGGGTCCAGGAAGTTGCGCTCGACGAAGAGGCCCAGGCCGGCGCCGATGCGGTCCTTGTTGCTGGGAATCACCGCCGTGTGGGGGATCGGCAGGCCGAGCGGCCGGCGGAACAGCGCGGTGACGGCGAACCAGTCGGCCAGGCCGCCGACCATGGCGGCCTCGGCGCCGGCGCGCAGCAGCAGCAGCCAGAAGCCCGGCGCCTCCACCGTCTTGGTGGCGAGGAAGATCCCGGCCATCAGCACCAGCAGCAGGGTCGCCACCCAGCGGAAGCGGCGTAGCTCCGCTGCGCGGTTGTCGGGCAGGAAAACCGGTTCCGACTCTGGATCTGGGGACGCCATGGTGCGACGCTAGCCGCGTGCGCGGTCCGGCGGCGTGATCTGCATCAAGGCCGGCCGGCCGGCCCGCGCGGCAAGGTCGTTCGCCACGCAAGCATGCAGCGAGGAGGGGCAGGTCATCATGGCCGGCGAAGTGGGCAAGACCGCGATTTTGGGGCTCGCCGTCGGGGTCGGCGTCGGCATCGGCCTGGCGGTCCTGGCCCCGAGTGTGTTCCCCCAGGCGGCGCGGGCGGCGCGGCCCTACGCCAAGAAGGCGGCCAAGACCGGCCTGGAGGCCTACCTGCGCGCCCGCGAGGGGCTGGCCGAGTTCGGCGAGTTCGCCGAGGACGTGGTCGCCGAGGCGCGTCACGAGCTGGCCAGCGAGCGGATGGGCGCGGCCGGCGCCAGCGCGAGCGCCACGGCGAGCGCCACTGCCGGGGCGGCCGCCGCGA